CAAAAGTCCAGTGATGCATGGAAACCCATTGCATATGCGTCTAGAGCATTAACTCCAACTGAGCAGAGATATGCTCAGATAGAGAAGGAGACCCTAGCTCTTGTTTGGGCATGTGAACGTTTCAGCTGCTATCTCATTGGGAAACATTTCCTTCTCGAGACGGACCATAAGCCACTTCTGAGCTTACTGAGCACAAAACATCTGGATGACTTACCACCAAGGCTGCAAAGGTTCAGAATGAGACATATGAGATATTCTTACGAGATCAGTCATGTTCCAGGGAAACAGTTCACAACTCCAGACACACTGTCAAGGATGCCCTCTATGAGTGATGTAACGAATGCTGACTCAACTCTCATGGAAGACACTAATATTTACCTCTCCCAAATAGGGAAAAGCTTCCCTGCTTCAAAGAGCCGCCTAGACAACATTCGACATGAGTTAAAGAAAGACCCTGTATGCAGCCAAGTAATGAGGTTCCATGAGCATGGATGGCCGAGAACTGTGCAGGGCAATGACAAACTCAGACCTTACTGGTTGGAAAGAGACATGATTTCCATCCTCGATGGACTGCTTCTACATGGAACAAGGTTGATAATCCCTGCCTCACTCCAAAGTTCAGTTCTGCTTCACATTCATCAGGCACACCACGGAATTGAAAAATGTCGCAAAAGGGCAAGACAGTCTGTGTGGTGGCCCGGCCTGAGTTCACAATTGCGAACTATGGTGCAACAGTGTGATGAATGTAGAAAGGCTTCCATGACGGCTGTAGAACCGCTACAACCTACAGACTTTCCACCGTATCCATGGCAGAGTGGCTACAGACTTGTTTGAACTAAAGGGTAAAAAGTACCTTTTAACAGTCGATTACTATTCAAGAGATATCGATGTGGCCAAATTGGCATCAACTTCCTCCGCAACAATAATCGAACATCTGAAAGCAGTGTTTGCACGGAATGGGGTGCCTGAGATACTAATATTTGACAATGGGCCACAGTATAGCAGCACCGACTTCCGGGAGTTTTCAAGAGAGTATGACTTTAAGCACATAACAAGCAGCCGACGGTATCCACAAGGAAATAGTGAAGCCGAAAGAGCGGTACAAACTGTCAAAAATCTCCTGGGGAAAACATCAGATCCATTCAAAGCTTTGCTTGCATACCGCTCTACACCACTTGCAAATGGCTACAGTCCAGCGGAATTGTCAATGGGCAGAAGACTGAGAACAGGCTTACCAACTCTGCCGTCTCTTCTCACACCAAAACTTCCAGACGCAGACGAACTGAAACGGTTTGAATCCAGTCAACGTGCTTGCACAAGACATTCATACAATAAGAGACATAGAGCAAGATCTTTGTCACCACTAAAACCTGGACAGACTGTTTGGATTAGGGACCAAGCTATCCCTGGGAAAGTGATCCGACAGCAGGCCCCAAGGTCGTTTGTCTTGAAAACCTTGCATGGAAATATTTGACGCAACAGATGGGCGTTGGTGCGACTCCATCACCCTGAAACAGATAAGGAGCAAGCAGTTGATTGGCCAGAGTTATTTGAGGATGATCATGTATCTGACAGTCAGATGCCAACAGTCCGTCAACCATCTCCAAGTTCGCAGTCTGCCATACCTACCCGACATGGAACTTACACAAGGTCAGGACGTTTGTCTGTTCCACCAAGACGAATAAACCTTTAGTCCATGGCCAGTGATCACAGAGGCAGAATAATCCTCTCACTGTGCCAGGAGTGCTCAGGTAGTCCACCCTGACCTCCTTAGGGAAAAAAAAGGAGAAGATAATATTAATGTGAAAAAAAACTGTGTGAAATGTATGATAATGTGAAAGACAAATTGTTGTGATAAAGGATGTTATTCAAGCAATAATTTTCCTGTACATTAGAGAAGCATAGCATGTATATGCTTAGAGTTGGTTAAAAATGGTTACAGTATGTTTATTATGCCACAATAGTAACATTATTGGGTTCACAACGTTCATTGTTTGGGGAAGGGGAGATGTAGTGATATCTGATTAGTGAGATCGCTATTGAGGAGCCACGCCCCTAAGCAGGGGGTTTTGGTACTGTGCGAGTGTTCAATAAAGTTCAGTTACGTACCTGCTAAGCTGTGTGATCAGTACGCTGCCTCGGCTCATCCATGAACACAACAGTCATCACTTGAATGCCACAGACTAGAGCAGGGGTCACACCTGGCTCTTTGACAACAATCATGTGGCTCGCCAGATCTGTATCATTTTCCTTTTTGGAAATGAACCAAACTAACCGAACAACAAGTGTGAACACACTTAATTTAGTTTCAATTTGATTCTAGCTCTGTGTTTAATCTGACTCCAATTTAAAATTAATCTCAAATTTAGACTGAGATGTTTATCAGTTTAGTTCAGTTTCTAATTTGGATATTTAAATATTCTAATAATCTCTTACTCTTCAGTTATTTGTTTATTAGGGGCCCAATGTCACACAGAGTCTCACGATGGCTGGTCAGGATCTAATGGTCACAAACTCCCATTTCTGGTCTTAGTCAGAGGATGAAGGGTTGACTAATACCTTTACGTTTGGGCACCCCATGCGTGCTCATACAAGAAGTGTAGTTTGTCATGTTTGTAAAACTTGTTCATGTTCATACAAGTCGGTGATAGACAGATATCATGAGGTCCCAGGACACGTGTCTTCTGCTCCATTCATTCATGACCTTCAGTTTGACCTACTGTAT